TAGATAGATAGATAGATAGATAGATAGATAGATAGATAGATAGATAGATAGATAGATAGATAGATAGATAGATAGATAGATAGATAGATAGATAGTGATTGTGACACAGTGTTAATAATTTTCCTTCTAACTCTACAACAGTTGTGTCCACACCTCATTGGACTATAAACTGAGACAAAGCTCTTCTAAAAGCAAATCATCCTGATAATGCATAAAGGCACTTTTTCTGGCAAATATTTTGAAGCATTATCCTAATTAACTTTCATTTTATTGACCACTAGGACATTAAAAACTGCATGTCAGAGATCAAAGTTTTCTCACCTCTCCCAAAATAAGGTTTTAAAATGTGTGTTTTTCTGGCACCATCTTTGCTTTAAAAAAAAGTTTCCCATAGTTTCTGCTTCAGGATACTTTGAGTGTCATGTACCTCTCGAATAGTGTCTCTGATTGAGTTTGATTTGTCATGTAGTAACAGTTAAACCCATCAGTCCTTTTTGAACCTAATAGTTTTTGAGTCATTAAAATGAAGAAACCATATAAAAATTTGAGCAATTTCTAGATAGTTAATGCACTAACACTTCAGACACATACAGATTGCTTCATTTCAAATTCATTTTGGTATTGTACAGTGACAAAATGTCAAAAATTACATTGCTGACAAAAAACTGAGGACTTGACACAGAGCTACTTATTTGGTGTGCTAAAATTGAGAACTAGGTCACTCAATAAGCTATACCATGATTATTTGATGAATTTCTCCCCTGCGTTGAAAGATGAGACGAGTTAAGCTGTGGCTGTTTTGTGACCAGAGGTAGGTTGTAGATTTGTGATGCCATATCATATCATACATCTAATTAGTGTTGATGTATAATTTAAAAGCCGCATTTATTTTCCTACAGGAAGGTGCAGATGTTGTTGCTGAACAAAGCCCCTTCTTTTTTTCATGATTTAGAGCTACTTGCCTTTTATTTGAAATCTTTTATGAAAGATTTTCTTCAAGACTCTTGTATAAATATTGAGGGAAGTAGCAAAGCCACGAAATGTCAAATGCTGAACAAAATCTACAGTTTTTATTTATCATTGATAGATGATACCAGTCCTCTGTCCTGTGGAGTGTGACGTAAATACTTTGTGACCTAGTTCAGGCTTCATGTAGTAAACCAGAAAGAAATATGATGCACAGATGAGCGCGGTTATCGAACAGGAACGAAAAATATAGTTTGAGTTGTGCAGCAAGTATCTGTGTGCACAGCAATACAATATGCAAGAGAAAAAGGATTTGATTTGAGACTTGAGAGTGTGTCAGCTGGAGGGGTTTCTGTCCTCTCAGCAGGTTTGTCTTTAAACTGGAAGAGCTGTAGTAATAACTTGTAGTGTTGAAGTAAATTTACATTAAAAAATAACATTTAAAAATGAGGTTGATGAAAACAGACAAAAGAAATTATACATTTTGTTTGACTTTGCTTTTTATGTGCATCCTTGTTGTGTGTTTTAGGGGGAACCATAAGGTGGAGGACGCCTGCGAAATGTACGCCAGAGCAGCCAATATGTTTAAGATGGCAAAGAACTGGAGTGGTGGGTGACACACACTTATCTACACACACACAAACACACTATCTACACACAAGTACATGCGTCACATTCATTAGACAGTAAAAAAAAATGCTTTACAAAAAAAAGATAAACTCCCACACAAACACCCACATGCAGACACGCACATGTATCTGAATGCTTTTACCCTCTGCATTTTAGTAGCATATGAATGATTCAACAGCCTGTAGAAAACATCATGTTACCACATACAGCAATGAGATCTTTAAACATGGACTGATCAGTGAGATTTTGTCTGCAGGAGCCACCCTGTGCTCTACATATGCCAGATGTGCCAATAATAGCTCACGCTGTGCAGAATTGAGCTGTTTGGATGTGTGTTTTGATGCAGCCTGATGTGTGTCCGTCCACACAGTCAGTCGTGAGCATGATCGTGTAATGCAGCAGGAGTAAAACAAATGAAACCTGGTTAAGTTTTTCTCATTCAAGATGTGACTGTGTGTGTGTGTGTGTGT